GTGTGTGTGTACTGGGGTTGTAGCAGGCTCTGTGTGTGTGTCTGTGTGTGTGTGTGTGTGTGTGTGTGTGTGTGTGTGTAGAGGGTTGTTGCAGGATGCGCTGTGTGTAGCGGGGCAGCGCGATGTGTTGTGTTGTGTGTGTCTATGTGTGTGTGTACTGGGGTTGTAGCAGGCTCTGTGTGTGTGTGTGTGTGTGTGTGTGTGTGTGTGTGTGTGTGTGTAGAGGGGTTGTTGCAGGATGTGCTGTGTGTACAAGGGGTAGTGTGAGGTGTTGTGATATGGTATGTGTGTCTGTGTGTGTATGTACAGAGGTTGTTGCAGGCTCTGTGTGTGTGTGTGTGTGTGTGTGTGTACAGGAGTTGTTGCAGGCTGTGTGTGTGTGTGTGTGTGTGTGTAGAGGGATTGTTGCAGGGTGCGCTGTGTGTACCGGGGCAGCACGATGTAGTGTGTTGTGTGTCTCTGTGTCTGTGTGTGTCTGTATACAGGGGTCGTAGCAGGCTGTGTGTGTGTGTGTGTGTGTAGGGATTGTTGTAGGCTGTGCTGTGTGTACAAGGGGCAGCGCGAGGTGTTGTGTTGTCTTATCTGTGTCTGTGTGTATGTACTGGGGTTGTTGCAGGCTCGATGTGTGTGTGTGTGTGTGTAGAGGAGTTGTTGCAGGCTGCGCTGTGTGGGTGTTGGTCCTGCTTTGAGCAGGGGGTTGGACTAGACACCCCCGAGATCCCTTCCACACCGATAGTCTATGGTTCAATGTGCCAGGGAGCAGCACAGCGTGTTGTGTTGTGTTGTGCTCTGGGTGTGTGTTACGGAGGGAGGTGCAGTTAAGTGGGCGTGTCCCCCCGCTGGCTGCCATGGGAACATGTGTCAAAACCCCTATACTGACGACACCCGAGGGTGATGTGGCTGCATCTCAGCGCTGGGCGAGGGGTCCCCGTGTAACCAGCTGCCCCGCCCCAGAGGTGGGCGCATCTCAGCCCTGGGCGAGGGGTCCCACATCCCCTCGCTACTCAGAACCCAGAACCCACCCTCCCCCCTCACATCTGCCCCCCAACACTTCCCTTCTAGCAACCCAGGGCTGGGTGGCAGGGACTGCGGGTCGGGAGTGAGGGACACTGGCAGAGATGGGGGGCCCAGAGCTGGGGGGGGCAACTCTTCACATGATTCCCTGGTCAGAGGTGGACGATGAAATGTGGAGGGGGACTGGGAGCCAGGACTCCTGGGTTCTCTCCCTCATTCTGGGAGGGGAGTGGGGGCTGCTGGGTTAGAGCAGGGGGGGTTGGGAGCCAGGACTCCTGGGTTCTCT